TAAATTTTTTGCTTATATTTTGCAGACTACGCATTAACTTTCAGCATTGCTTGTAATGAAGAAAGTTTATTGCTATCATTTTTTTAGATTTCTTTTTGTTGGTTGTTAAACGTTTTGCTTATATTTTGCAAACTACGCATTAACTTTTAGCATTGCTTGTTATTGTTAATAATTGACTGTTAAGATTATTCCATATATGTTTATTGTGTGGCGTTACTTGTTAACATTCTCAGCTTAGCTGTTAAAGTTATAGGGTATGTGTGATATATACTCCTTTACCTATTAATGTTTATAGTTTAGCTGTTAAAATTTTAGGTATGCGTGAAGTATAAGCTTTTACTTGTTAATGTTTACAACTTGATGGTTAAAAGTTATAGGGTATGTGTGAAATATATGTTTTTACATGTTAATGTTTGCAACTTGGCAGTTAACGTTATAGGATATGTGTTATGTATACGCTTTTACTTGTTAATGTTTTATCTAGGAAGTTTAATTTATTACATACATGTTAAATGTATATTATGGCATGACAATGTTAAAGCAAGTAAATCATACAAATGTAACCCCAAACACAATAGAATTGATAAGGACATACAGTGGCGTAGCCAGAAATATTTTTTACCCTGGGCGAAAAATAAAGGCGGTCGGCGGTGAGGGACTTGAAGCGACGGAGGAGGGAGAGGAGCTCGGTGAGGGAGAGGAGGGAGACGCGGGAGAGGGAGGAGGGTTGGGGATTGTTGAGATGGAGGTCCTGGAAGAGGAGGGAGAGGAGGTTGGATCTGCGGAAGAGGGAGGTGAAGTGGTTGCAGAAGAAGGGAAACGAGGGGAGGCAGAAGGGGGAGGTGAAGTGGGGCAGTTTCTTGCCCTGGGCAGCTGCCCAGGGCAAGACTGCCCTGGCTACGCCCCTGAGGACATAGTAGTTGATAATCAACATATAAACATAAATACAAGCGATGAAGATGTTGGTAAACATGTACACATAAATACACAAGATTAGCAAACACGTATGAGTGTAAGTTATTGAAAGCAGATTTGTAGTTGAAAGCACTATCAAAAAAATCACTCAATATTTGTAATTGAAAGCAGATTGAGAACATATGAGACCGGTGTTCAAAGGATCCTAGCAATATCAAATTTGGAGGACTTCCGGTGGAGATGGGGGACTTGACAATGAAAGTTGAGAGCTTGTGGTCGAGATCGAGATGTAGGACTCGACGGTGGAAGCACAGGAAGATGTGAAGATGGTAGAGAAGGATGCAGTTAGGGTCAGAGGTTTTGCGAGGCAAAAGAAACATCAAATTTTAAGAAATATTTGTTAGAGATAATAGAAGATTTTTAACTTTTAACCAATTTGAGATTTCTAAATTGCTAGAAGATATTTTTTAATTATATATTTTTTGAAATCCAAATTGATTATCCATGATTAAGAAATTAGTGGGTTTTGTTATTTTCGGTTAATATTATGCAAAATTGTTAGGGTTGTCAGCGAGATACTTTAACTAATGAGTTTTGCTATAGGGACCCAAAATATGGGACCAATAAATGGGACAAGTGAGGTGTCTCCCTCCTATTGGATAATGAGTTGGCGGCTATCATTAATGATGACCAACTCATTATCCAATACGAGGGGGACACCTCACTTGTCCCCTCTATTGGTCCCATATTTTGGGTCCTTAAAGAATTTTTCTTAACTAATATAGATAACTGCGCATTTTATTGAAGTGTGCACATAAGATTCAAGTGGATTATTAAAGATAGAATTTAGATGCAGATAAATGGCAGGGACAATTGTCGAAGTGTCAAATTTTTGTGTGAAGGAGAGAGCTGATGTGGCACGTTGTGAAGAGTGCTTGTTCATTTATTTTTACTCTAAATTATATACTAATGTAAGATAAATTATACACTAATATAAGATGATTTAGGGCCAGGTACCAATTCCAATATTTGGAGAACTAATATTTTAGATTTGGGAGACTAGTAATTCCAAAAGAACGTTGTTTTAAAGGACAAATTTTCAAAACCAAACCATTTGTAAAAATATTCCTCAAAAACAACCTGTTTCAACTTTAATTATCAAAATCGACTTAGTTTCAGGCTCAGGACTGAAACTGGGTCGGTTTTGACGAAAAAGTTCCCAAAGTTCACTGAGTTGAACTCCCGTGAAGTTTTTTACATAACAAAACTTTAGGGGAGTTGAAGTCCCGTGAAGTTTTGTTATGTAAAAAACTTCACAGGAGTTCAACTCCTGTAAAGTTTGTGAATTTTTTTTATCAAACCGATCTAGTTTCAGTCCTGAGACTAAAACTAGATCGGTTTTGATAATTAAAGTTGAAACAAGACGTATTTTAAAAATACTAGTTTTTACACACGTGCAATGCACGTGATTTAATACCATGATTAAGTATTTTTGGCAGTTTGTGCTTATTTTTTTCTTTAAACTCTTACATCCCGATTATTTTTTTATTTTTGTTTAAATGGGATACACCCAATTTAAATTTTCATGTTGATATTTGAATTGACAAAAAACAAATATAATTTAAAAATAATTTGAATTTTCATATTATTTTCGACCGATATGAAACTAAGCTTTATTTGAGAAAGTATAGCATTGCAAAGTAAAAAATATTAAAATAGTGTTATATAAGGAAGGTGAATATTTAAAACCAATATGGCAAAATGATTGATTTAAAGTATGTTAAAACGATGCAAAAGAGAATATGAAGTTTATTCCTAATCATTGATAGACTTCATAAAAAAGTATAAATTAAAGATTAATGCTAACTATAGTATACTTTTATATGATAAAAACATCCACATAAGAATATAAAAGTACTGAAAAAAATTCATGAAACTCCATTCTAAAGATTCCTAATTTCACTTAAAATAATTAAACTATTCTATAAAATATTCATAAAATATTGTTTTTATTTCTTCTATTTTATTTTTTATTGAGTTAAGATCAATCCTTCTTCAGGTTTATCATTTATCATTTTTCGGACAATTCTAGAGTATTGTCTTCATCATCTACATCAATTGTGACATCAGGCTAATTTTGTATTTTTTATGCTATTATCTTTCCTAGGCTCGTTAATTTTTTATCATCTCATTTAACTTTACAAAGAAGTCAAATGTACTTATGATGTTCAACACAAACTGCTCAAAATATAGACTTTGATTTTTTTTCTATTTCAATGCCTGCATTATTCATTACTAATTTCTCTTAGATTATAATATTAATATTTAATTTGAAGAACACAGTATGTAATTTATGAATACTTACTAATTTTTCGTATGTCTTCCATGGAGATTTTTTCTTTGATTAGGATAAAGTTATTAAATTATTTTTTAATGTAACACATTCAGTGCTTCATTAATAGATATGTCTTATGTTAATGTCAATTCAAGTGATTCATTGATGTTTTCTGAATTTTAGATTTATTTCCATCACTTTCCCATTTGCAATGGAAATAACTCAATTCTTTTAAAGTTATCTCTAAATATTCTAATAGTTTCTCCATATGTAATTTCTTGTATTCTTTTACCCTATAAATATTATTAACGTTAAAGATTAAAGTTTCTAAATTAAAATCAATTAATGCTAAGGTATAATATTATAGTGTTTTATCATTTCTATGGATTTAAACATCTATCAATTAATGTTACGAATGTATTTTGGCTACCCCAACTTATTACTAAAATTATATGAAATTACTTTAATTTATATAGTGCCGATAATTTTTAATCTATAATATTTTTGAAATTTGAGGGTGTGATTTATAATTTTTAAAATTTTGAAAGAGTTTTTAAAAAAATTTACTTTTAAGTTTGGTAGTTGTAAATTCTATGTTTCATGTGTTGGTGGTAATTTTTTAAATGTTAGTATATTTCTTGTAACTCTACAATTTTGAGGGTGTCTTTTGTAATTATTAAAACTATAGATTAATTTAAAAAAAAAAATTAAATTTCAGCGGTCTACCAATCGACGAATTTGATGTGTGCTAGTTAAAAATTTTGAAAATTTATAGTTTTTTTTTACGATTTTTAAATTTTGAAGGAGTTTTTTAAAAATTTTGAGGTTAATTTTGGCAAATTTTAATTTTTTAGGTGTCTAAGGGTAATATCTTGAATTCATCTTATTTTATTTATAAATTTTAGAATTTTAGGGTGGCTTTTTTTAATTTGAACTTTTAAAGGTGTTTCTATAATTTTTAAGATATTGAGGGTGTTAATTAAAAAATTTAAATTTAAATGTCAAAAATTTTAGGTGTATCATGGTAATCTCTTGAATTCATCTGTGTTGTTTGTAAGTTTTAAAATTTTAGAATTTTAATGTGCTTGTTTGTAATTTAAACTTTTGAGAGTGTTTCTATAATTTTTGAGACATTAAGGTGTTAACTGTAAATTTTAAATTCTTTGAAAACTGATGTTAATTTTTTAATTTTATGTTTTTTATTTTAAGTTTTGAGACATTTGGATGAGTTTTATAATTTTAAACTTTTCAGGGTCTTTTCTGTAATTTTAAAACTTTTTATGGTTTTTTTGCAATACTTCATGTATTATAATATGTTATCTACTTGTAATTTCTTTATCTTAACAAACTAATATCATTTTTATGTTTTATATATTTTATTAATATTAGTTTTTTTAAATTGTTAAGCTAAACATGGTTCACATAGGATTAGGATAAGATATGACTATGATTAGGATAGATTAAGATATAAATAAAATATTCAAAATAGTGAAGGGTAATATTGACCATTGAAAATTAGGATTTGATTATAGATAAGGTAGTTCAAACTATAAAGGGGTATATTTGTCTAAAAAAGATTTTCCGAACTCGTGCTTTTAAAGGGAGTATGATAAGTTTCAAAAATGGTTTGTTTTAAAAATTTGTCCTTTTTTTTAACCGTGCAGCCTTCCGGAGCCTCAGCCGGTTCGGGCTGCGAAACAGCACTCTACCCGACAATCCGGATGCGAATACCAAAAGTACCCTTTTTAGGCGGGAAGGTTGTAGAGCCCCAAAGTCTCCCGGTCCGCATTGCCCCCTTCTCCAAAAAGCTTCCTAGGGTTTCTCCGATCGCCGACTGATCTCTCTCAAAAACCCTAGAAATCAGTCGGAGATGCCTATCTACAAGATTCGAGGGATCAATGTAGATTTCCCCTTCGAAGCGTACGATTGCCAGATCATCTACATGGAAAAGGTCATCCAATCTCTCCAAGAGGTACCATTATCTTGATCTTTCTCTTTAAATCCATCGCGTTTTAGAGTCTGTTAGGTTAAAAACCTTAATTTGGACCGAAAAGGCCCAGCGTTTGTTCCTCAATTCGTTTGAAAGATCTCCAAATCGATATAATCAGCTAATTAGTTTTTTGCTAATTATAGTTTTACTGTTTAAGATCATAAAAAATTGTATTTTAATTCGTTTGCTCTGTGTTTCGTGTCCCTTGGTGAAGTAGCAAAATTTCATCACTTTTTGCTTATGATGAACTGAAGCAGTTCTTGTTCTTTCGTTTTTGATTGCTTAAACATAAAAATGTCACGTTGCATGTCACGTTTTTGATTGCTTAAGCATAACTATGTTGATTTTTTGTCTGAATGTAAGATAATTAACCTGTTGTCTAACAAATTATTTATCATCTTGTAAGGTAAACCTGCAACGTGACTTACTGATTATGCTCAATCACACACATTGTTATTCAGTTAATTTTTGAAGCAATATCTCAAAGTTCTAAAAAGGAGGATTTTTGTAAATAGACCCTTTCACAAAATGAATTATTATTTTTGACCTACTATCAAAATAATTACCATTTTCAACCTAGTTTTAGCCACATCAGCTTCGTGCTCTTTAAAAAAAATTGTTCACTAACTCTATGGTATCGCCAAGCCCGTGGGCTTTGTTTGCGTAGGTAAACTCTATGGAATTGGCAACCCCATAGAGTTTGTTTCTTATAGCAAAACTCTATAGGATTGACAATCCTGTACAATTATACTTAGCCGCAAACTGCAATTTTGCAGCCTGCGGCTTCACCTTATTACATATACATTGTATTCGCACCGAAACCTAGATCACGATCCATAATATCACCCAAAACATATGCAATACAAGAATATACTCAATCATAAAATTAGTATCTCCCTTGTATCAATCCAAACACAAACCAGAAACACACAATCCAAATATGATACATAATTCAAATCTCATATCATACATGTAAAACTGACCTTTGACCTAGTACCTAACCCTTACTTTTACATCATTTATTCTAACTTTTCCTTTCTAAATTACATACAATTTCTCAAAAACCCATTTCAATCCCTAAATTAGAAAGAAATACAAATTTTTTAAATCAATTATAAAAAAACTCCACCATTTCAATTTTGTTACTTTTACATCATTTTCCCTAATTTTTCATTTCTCACTTACATACAAATTTTCAAAAAATCCAAATATCAATCCAAATTATAAACTAAAATGAGCAATTGGGGATGAAATAGATGGCAATATGTGAAAAATAAGGAAACACAAAAAAATTTAAAGAAATTACCAAAAATATGTAAAAACCCTAGAAATGAACTCCGACGAACTCCAGCGAGAGCACGGCAAGGAGGAGTTGGTGGCGGCAGGAGATGGTCAGTGGAAGTGGTCGGAGACGGAGTTGTGATTGGAGTAGTTGGATGGGTAAAAAAACCCTAGGGCTTGGGAGAGAGAGGGAACTGTTGGGGAGAGAGAAGAATGACTGTGTGTGAGGGAGAGAGAGCGGGCTGGGGTTTTATAAAAAAAAAATCAGCTGGCGGGGGGTTTTATATAACAAAAAGTCCACGAGATTCCCAGTCCCGTGGACTTTGAAAAATAGCTGAACTCTCTGTAAAAACACAGGACTAATAGTCCTGTGTTTTTGGCAGAGAGTTGTTGCTGGCTACCGCATGTCTATGAGGTTAGCAATCCTGTGGATTTTATTTACATATAAAAGTGCATGAGATTGGCAATCCCGTGTACTTTAATTGTGTATTAAACTACACGGGATCTGAAATCCCATATAGATTGATGTACAGTTAAACTATATAGGATTCCCAATCCCGTATACTTTATAACCATTTTTTTCAGAATCGACCTAGTTCCAGATGAGGTGGCCGAAACTAGGTCGAAAATGATTGATATTTTCATAACAGGTCAAAAATGATAAATACTTGTGTGAAAGGGTCTATTTTGAGAATTTCTCCTTCTAAAAATATAATTTCAGAACTATTGTATATTTTCTTTCATATTTCAAATGCGATATTTTGTGTGTTCCTATCTTCGTAGAGATGCATTATTTCATTAGAAATTAGAGGTCTTAATTTATTATTTTCTTTGGGTTATGATTGGTTGCTCATTCAACGGCTTTCAAATTGAAAATGTTAAAGGTTATGATCAAGTCTAGCGCACACCCCCACCCACACAAACAGACACACGATAAATTTTGTTTGCTGTTCACTGCTTTAGATAGATTAATGGGTCTTGTTCTTATCATTCCAGAGATGTAATGCTTTATTAGAGAGTCCAACTGGAACCGGAAAAACTCTGTGCCTTTTGTGTGCTACACTGGCATGGAGGAAGAGTCTAGGTGACTTCTTGACCAGTGCAGATCAAGACAGGAGCTGGGCTTCTGGAAGTCAGCACTCAAATGAAGAGAAGGGCTGGTTTTCTGGAAGTCAGCATTCAAATGAAGAGAAGGGCTGGTTTTCTGGAAGTCAGAGTTCTGGAAGCCAGCAGCCTGACAGTCTATCCATGGAGCTTCCACGATCAAAATATCCTGTAATTGTATATACTTCTCGCACTCACAGCCAGCTGAAGCAGGTTATCAGAGAATTAAAAACAAGCAATTACAGGTTAATTTCCACACAGTAGCTCTTTCTCCTGCATCAGATATACAAGCAAACACTATATTGTCATTTTGACCTTTTCCTTTATAAATTATTCATATTCTCATAATCTTCATTATGGATTCAGCGATCAGTGGATGCAAAATTAATATCCTAAGGATTCGCAAGGTCTGATGTTATTATGCAAGTTCTTTCCTATTCATCTCCTAGGAATCTTGATATAGACCTTTTTATTTATTAACCTCTCCTCTCAAAATTTTTCCATGATTTCATTTTTATTTCCTCTTTATCACAAAAATCTAACAGTTAATATTTTGTTAGGCTTTTCAAGTTTTATCTGAGGGAAGCCATTTTGCTTGTGTTATTTTTGTTTGAATCCATTATTTTTCCTTATTGATTTGGTTTCTAAACATTTATAATTAGTACTGCATTCCATCAGTGTGTGTCAATTATATTGTATATATCCTCTATATTATTGCAAAAGTAGGTTGTTGTTGTATAAATTCTTGAATCTTTGATGCTAATTTAGCTAATAACTCATTCAAGAACACAGGCCCAAAATGTCGATACTGGGATCTCGAGAGCAGATGTGCATTCACGATCAAGTGCAAGAGATTCGTGGCAAAGCACAAAATAATGCTTGTCATACCCTATGCAAGAAACGTAAATGCCGTCATCAAACTCAAGTGTCTGGTACTGCTGATACCCAAACTCTTTGTATTTAATAAATTATTCTCTTTTGCTCATTTATTTGTGCTGTTTTTGACATGTTACACTCTTCTATCAAGTTCTCAAGCTTCTGCTTAAGTGATCTTTTGATATGACCTGACTTATAAATTCTTGCAGAGTTTATGAAGAAAAACCATGAACTTGGGAATGAGCCCTTTGACATTGAAGACTTGGTTAAGATCGGACGAACAAAGGGGCCGTAGGTTCTTATGCCTCTTGCATATTTCTTTCAGGGATTTTCTCATAAGGGATCTGCAGATCTTCTTTAATTGTAAAAACGCTTAAATATTCATATTTCTAAATTAAACCCCCTAATCCCTTAAGTTGTTAAAAAATAATCTTAATTAGACTTAAGGTGGGTTCTTTTTTCCCCCGAAACCACATTAACAATGGGGTCATTTTAGAGAAACCACCTTTCATTTTCAATTTGAACCACCTTTAAAGTGGACATTTGTTCCAATCAACCACCTCCTTGCCAAATCTTCACCAATAAACCAAAAAGAACCTTAGAAAATGCAAGTTTAAGGTATGTGGCTTGTATTTTAACTAGACCTAAACATAAATATAGTAACATGTCTTGAATGTGAGTTTTAAGGGTATTTTGGATTTTCGGTGAAAATTTTGACTTAGAGGTGGTTCATTAGAACAAAAAACCACTTTAAAATTGGTTTACATATAAATCAAAAATGAAAGATGCTTTTTGTAAAATAACTCTATTTTAAGGTGGTTTCTAGGAAAAAGCCCTAGATTTAACTGTACTTGCTCAATTTTTACTGTTACCCATTAGCATAATTTTATCTTTGCACCATTGTGACCTTGATAGGGGGGGAGGGGGGAGGATTTGGGAAACTCAAAAACAGAGAGAGATTGGGAAAGAATAGTTATGGGAGAGAGACAGAGAATGACAAAGAGAAAGCGAGGGAAAACATCACTAATATGGGCATTGATGTAATTTTACCAAGATGGTTAAAGAGTTAACATACCACAATAATTTTTTTGGACGGGATCCGCCCAGTGATGTTTCTTAAAAAAAACTCGAGATTGGAGGCTCTAGTTTAGAAATGTGAGAATTTGAGGGTCTAATTTAAAATTAAAGAGTTCAAGGCGGGGGGGGGGGGGGGTTTGTCTATATGACAAAAACCCATATTTCTATTGTTATGCTATAATGTTTCGTAGAAGTCTACACTCACAATCATGAAATTTGTTACTCTGCACATTTGAAAGTATTATCTTTCTTGCAGATGCCCTTATTACATATCGAGAGAACTTCATAAGGCTGTTGACATTTTGTTTGCCCCTTACAATTATCTCATTGATCCTGGAAACCGGCGTTCTCTATCAGGCATCAACTGGAAAAATTCTGTACTTATATTTGATGAAGCGCACAATCTGGTAATAAAGTTCAAGGCTATTGTCAATTCCAATCTGTGATGTCGTTGTACTTTTATGGTTTTTGATTTCATATAATTTTAAATTGTTTATATCCTCAGAGCTTGTTCATCATGTTATTGATCAGGTTACATCTGCTGAAATTTGCTTCTTATTAGTTGTTATGTTCTATCTAGCTACATAGTATATATAGGTTGTCGTGGTATGAGATTTATGAATTTCTCTTAGTGATTGAGTTTACCTACTTATAATGGATCTGTCACACATCTTATACAGGAGGGCATATGTGCAGATGCAGCTTCCTTTGACTTGCCTTCAGCTTCTCTGAATGCTTGTATCTCTGAAGCAAAGCAATGTGTGGACCTTTGTTTAAAGAGGAGGGTGATTGATAAATCAAGTGATAAGCAGCATGATCCAGATAATTATGCCATTCTTAGTGGTTAACTACACCTCATAGCTGATAATTGTACTTTCTTGTTTGGTAGTTAGTATTGCTTTATATTTGTGTTCTTAACCTCTAGAGAGCAATGAGTTTTTATAGTGTTCTTTTATACCTTTGTTTATTTTTGGATTTAAGGTAGAATTATGGTTTCTGTTTGATTATATATCTACTTGTTTTACTACTTAGTAAATATAACTTTCAGGACTGGCTTGAAAACAACTATTTATTGCTAGACAAAATATGCTTCCATTAAGGGGGATACTTATCTGGACTAGCCGAGCAACAAGCTTTTTTGATGTCATATAATGGAATCTTGTAGTTCTGCTCCGTCCTTTTTTCTATAGTGGGTTTTGATCTGCTTTTTGTTGATTTCCGATTAGTTTTCCATATTTCAATCATATTGCTTAGAATTCCTTGTTGGTACCTTAAGATAATGCATTGTAATTCGATATAAGCGTTCATTTAATTACCCAAGCATTTGTGCCATTTCCATTGTTATAAAAATCATGCAAAAGCTCGACTTATATCATCTTCATATTACTGCTTTTGGTATGTTTTAGCCCTCACTTCAAGATTTAAAAGATTTATATGCTTTACATATAAACTCTTGTGTTGATGTTGATTGTTCTCATTAAGATTTCTGCACTAACACTTTTTTCGTTTCTTTACTATGCAAAATTAATTTCGGGTCCCCCCTTTTTTCCCCTTTTAGTGCCTTGTACGCCCCCCCTGCGGGACCCGTCCCATATCTAGGAAAACTTGGCTTTTTAGCCACTAAATTCCGTAAGGCCTGCTAAAGCCTAAGCTCTGTCTTGCCGTTTCGCTCCCACATCGTTTTACACACGGTTCGCCATTTCTTTTCATTCTCTTTATCTCTCACTCTTTCTTTTGGATCAGTATATGTTCCTTCATACTTGCATGTTCCTTTCTATATGTTAGCCTTCAGAACAATTATATGCAAAAGGGAAATCAGGTCAAGTGAAGAAGTCTCTGTAATGTTAACTTTGTTGCAAGAATTGATCATACTTCTCTCATTCTGTAATAACCTTGAATTCAAAATTTGCAATTTGTATACTGATATAATTTTCTTGATTAATGAACATCAGTTTGTAGTATTTTAAGCAATGCTGCAGCTGGTAGGCCTACATTTGTTGACAGGAGTATCTCCCTTAGTTATACTGTAATACAGGTTGCTTGATGTTATTTCTGGTTATATTGTTTTAATCATAAAATTATAACTTAAATGTTTCTTAAAATCTGGTAATTCAATGTTGTTATTATTGTAATGTATAAACATATGGCTAACAGGACTTGAAAATTTCTTATACAATAGACATCTTCATTTCTTTAAGAAATTTTCAGATGTTTGTATATGATACTTGATTTTCCTTAGAATAGTTACAAATTCTGGAATTGCACTTGTAAATGGTTGAAATAATGCTTTGCAGATTGCATACAGCTCATAGTTAATTTGTTCTAGATTGTTTCTGATTAACTTTCAATTTAACTGTTTGTGCATTACCAACAATAACTTTTTGCAGCCCTTCTGTTGAAGCTGGAGAAACGAGTTACTGAAATTACCATTGATTCTAAGGAATTGGGCTTTACTCGACCTGGGCATTATATTTATGAATTCCTTTCTGATCTGAATATCACACATAAGACGGCCAATATGCTTATTGATACAATTGATAATGCTGCTCTGCTTCTAGAAGAGGGTATGGCATCCCATTGAAAGTGCTATTGTTGTCCTCTTATGCTATTTCTTGATCTTAAAAAAAATTCTGACTTCAAAACATGTCATGCTTCTTGATGGAACGGAATTTTCTTATTATGATCTTTGAGAAAATTTGTATTCCCCCCTTCTTTAGTGTTATCATCTAAGAAATCCTTATGAGTAGTAGTCTATACTGTTCCTTGTCCATATCAGGAAATGTAAGTGGCAATGGCTTACCAATTAAAACAAAGGGAACGATATGCAGATTAGAGAGCATCAGGGATATTCTTAATATTATCTTCAGGGACGGTGGTAAAGGGCATGCAAAGTTTTATCGTGTAAGTAGGGGTCCTTCTGAGTTCTCATTTTTTTTTGCTGATTTGAACCTTGTAGTAGCACAATGCTATATGGTTCATATTTTTGGACCTTAAACTTCGACATTTTGTAAGCTCCCAAAACATTGTTTATTTGCAGTTTCATGTGCAAGAATCCAAGTCGAGTCCCATAGATTCCGTGAAAGGTAATGACACTGTTTTCTGAAGTCCAAAATGTTTTGTATTTTTTAAGTCAGTTGCTTGTTTCATTGGAGAAGCACTGGTAGTAAGGATTAATTACTAACTCTTTTTGTTTTTCTCTTCCCGCTGTTACCACAACGTTTCCCGTGTTATTTTATAGCTCAATTCTAGAATATTATGTCAAGGAACAGCGAATTTTGTGTCTTTTTTCATTACATCATCTACAATTTCAGTTTTTTTTTAATTTTTAAACGTCCATCTAAGTTGTAAAATTTACTGCATACTACTGTTGACTTAAGTTTCAAGATTTGCTGGGGGCATATGTACATAAAGTATGAGAACGAGCTTTGTGTTTACATATTGCTAGCAGACCGATCTGGCCTCTTGTTTTTAATTGTTCATAAACTTGTTTTTAAGTTTTTGTAATCTTCATGTGGTTCATATATAAAGTCTTTTTGTCTCCCTTTTATTAAACCTAAGGCACTCTGCAAGTACGATATTTTCATTGGAATATACAATGTCTAAACATGTTGATCATTTTAGCTTGTGATTGGAAATGGTATTTGAAGAAACTCCAGTAGTGTCAGAGTTTTAAGTGAAACTGTCTCTTTTATTATGTTGGGAAATTTCCGGGAATGACTGCTCACTGGCACTGCATTGCTTGTCTTCCTTGATGCATGAGGAATATATTACCCTAACATGTTCCAGCAGTTTAAAATCCTGTCATAAAGTGTAATCCTATTCCAGCTCTTTTATGCTAACCACTAATTAGTTCCTATGAGAACACCATGGCAATTGCCGGTCAATGGTCATGCTTGCCACTTTTTCAGTCCATCTCTGTCACCCTTAGTGTAATAATAAATCCCTCTAAACACTCATTTAAGGTAACAACTCAAAGGTTTTACAATCTAAAGTATAATTTTGTACCTCTTCATCGAATTATTTACTTTCTTGCATATTTATCTATTAAATTATGAGTCATTCTGTTTGCATGTTTCATGCTATTCTTTCCTCATATGCAAGTATATATAGCCTTGCAAATTGAAATTTGAATGCATATCATTTTGCCATCTAATGCTAAAGTTGCTGCATATTCATATCATTTGACCAAGCTTGTGATACTAAAATTTCTTTTGACACATTCTTGTTTTTCATACTCAAATGACGCTTGAAATAGGCACAAAACTTTTGTATAGAACTCTCAGAAATAATTTTCTTCGCGTTGTTAACATGTAGGCAAAGCATCACGGATGCTCAGTTGGTGGTGCTTTAATCCAGGACTTGCCATGCAAGAATTCATAACGATGGGTGTGGGATCTATCCTGTTGACATCTGGCACTTTGTCTCCTCTGGACTCATTGGCATTGGAACTTAACTTGTAAGTCAAATCTCATTTCTGTTTCCTTTCCTTTTCATTTCTATTTTCTTTTCCCTTCAAAACATGTAGCGAGCCTGATTTTCTTTTGATCTCTCTCTCTCTCTCTCTTTCCTTCAAAGAGAGTTTCCAGTCAGACTGGAGAACCCTCATGTCATATCTCCTGATCAAGTTTGGGTTGGTGTTGTACCTAGTGGCCCATCTGGCTATTCGTTTAATTCTTCATACAGAACTCGTGATTCTCTAGAATATAAGCAAGAGCTTGGCAATGCCATTGGTAGGTAATGAAAGTTTCTGGAAAAAGTTTAATTGTTGTGATTATCTACTTATCATGTCTCTTGATCCATAAGTGTTTCATGGTTTTTATCTGTGTGACTGTACTGCAGTTAATTTTTCCCGTATAGTGCCTGATGGATTACTGGTGTTCTTCCCTTCTTACTACCTGATGGATCAGTGCATTAGTTGCTGGAAACACATGGTAAGGGAGCCTCATAGCTTTGTCCGTACTCCTTTGTTCTGAACAGATTTAGATTCTTTCTGCAGAGCCATGCAAGCTCCACAGATTTCAGTACAATATGGGAAAGGATTTGTAAGAATAAACAACCAGTTGTAGAGCCTAAAGCCAGTCAGCAGCTCTTCCCAGATGCTATCTGAGTTTTTTCCGCTCCCCCCTTTTCTCATAGTATTCTTGTACCTATTATTCTTCTTTCCGCGTGCTTCAATGATTTGCACGAGTGCTGTTAGAATCTTTTGTACTTCGTCTTCGTTTTTGCTAATATTTCAGGCTGACTCTTTTTGCAGGATTTTGAGGCTAAACTGCGCGACAGTGCTACTTCTGGGGCAATCTTTTTTGCTGTCTGTCGTGGCAAAGTCAGTTTCATTTTAAAATATGCCAGCATTATTGCCATTTTTCTGCACGCTATGTTAAGTATTGTTATGTAGTTATGTTTAGAGTTTGGAAAGATAGGGGTTTTATTATCAAATCAAATATCACGTTTAGCCCATTTCATGTTTCTCTGTTCTTTTGATCCCTAGCTGTGTGCAATTCATTTTATAAAAACCATAGAAGACACTTTTTCCAACACCTTATATTAGAATCTGAGATAAATTTTGTCTTGTTCCTGAGAAATGGAAAAAGTTGGAGGCAATCATATATAGTATGTTGTGTGTTAGTTTAAGTTCACTCCTTCATTGTAATCAAAGAATTTGAGCATTAAGATACCTATTTGATTCATCAAAATACTTCTCTCAGGTTGAGACATTATAAACTTCTACTCATGCATTTGTAAGTGACCACACCTTAATCAAAATGTCCATCTCAATATCTGAAGACAGAACAAAACTAACTTATGCTTCAAACTTTATGTTCTTACGGGGGGGGGGGGGGGGAGGGGGGGACCTGTATACAACTAAAGGAAGTCACACATAGGAAATGTTAATATTTTTCTTCTTCTTCATCACTCCGAAGACTTTTCTGACAACATGGGGTCAGTTAGGGTGAAAGGAACGACTAAAATTAACAAAATTTTACAAGTGTCTGTGAAAGTTCTACTCTAGAAAATTATGACTATGAACATGAGAGAGGCTTGCCTTAAATCCTAGAAGTTAACATGCTGTTAGGAAAACCTACTTTCTAGTCATCTTATTTTAGTCATGGTTTTTTTACATATTTACTCCACAACCTTCCACACTTCAATGTTCCAAAGAACTACTCTCAAGATCGTTGTATTTGTGTACCCTCCAAATGAGATTGGGGCCACAACTAACTAGAGGGATTGAATAATAAGTTCCCACGTGATCCAGGTTGACACACATGATGAGTTGGGTGTCAACTGTTGGAATATGGAAAATGTGAGGTACAATTGTAAATGGCCTTATGTGGTTGTTTTGCGTGGTTTGAGGAAATAGAATGATACATTGCCTTGGGGACGCGATACCATTTTACTTCTAAGATGAATACTATCCCTAAAGCGAACACATCCTTTTTTAAAAGGAGAAGTTGAAGGATACCCCTTGGGTTTAATTATCTTATGCACAAAAGAGGCAGGTTTATCTACCTGCCAATTGGTTATCGGGTTCTATGACATGTCCCTTTCTTCTCTTAGTTATCTGTACAAAAATTTGCACCTAATAGTGGAGGTTTATTTTCTTCTGACAACTGATTGTATTCAATCAATCTTTCATGGAGCTTCTTACCCTGGGTCACGTCCCTTCACTGATTGATACGAGTTGCCGTGCGAGCACCTTTGATCGCGGAATTATCAAAGGTGGGTTGAGAAGAGGATGACACCGTGCGAGCACCTTTGATCGCGGAATTATCAAAGGTGGGTTGAGAAGAGGATGACAGAAACACAAGCAAAATTCAGTATATGGCGAAGGGCGGAATTATCAAAGGTGGGTTGAGAAGAGGATGACAGAAACACAAGCAAAATTCAGTATATGGCGAAGGAAATTACCTTCTTTAGATTATGAGTATGAAAAGATTACAATCTCTCTCACAATCACTAGAATCGAGAACAAACTCTCAATTCTCACTAAACCCTAATACAATGATTAGAATCTCTCTCAGAATCTATCTGATTCTATCTGATTGTATCTGATTGTTTAGAAACCCTAAAACAATCCTTTATATAGGTGTACAAACGTGGATGGTAATTTGGTAAATAACCAGACCTAAAACCAACAGGAATTCGTGTGAACAGAAACCCAAACGAACCAGGAAACAATCGATGAGTCGACTCATGACTGAGATGAGTCGACTCGTCAGAAGCTGGACAAAACTCAAAAACCAGCGATGAGTCGACTCATGACAGTCATGAGTCGACTCAACCTGATGAGTCGACTCATGACTGTTATGAGTCGACTCACAGGCTGAAAACTGGATACTTCGCGTCTCGTTCCACGCTTCCTTCTGCGTTTCCTTGTACTGTTTAACACCTCTATTCTCATGCTATCATGAGAATCATCTATCCTCAAGCTCCCATGAGGATCGCTAAATTCCGAAGAGAAGATACACCCGTATCATGCGTCCCCTCTTTAAGAACTTGAAGTCCCATTCAAGTTAGAACTTTTACTGAGGAAACTCTCGAGCTCCTCCATCTTTTCTGCACCACCTGGCCTTGCTAGGAATCCGGTCTCAACGTCCGATCGGAAACAACTCATTCGTCCCGCGTCTCGTCGTAGTCACCGCTCGCTCTAAGTTGCAATCCTTTGTCGATGGCTTTTCTGGAAGTCTAATGCACAACGAGACAAACTTTTTGTTTGCATTCATTAGTCTCTTCACTCGCGTCACCGTCCCCAAGCTTGTCTCCCTCGGAAGAGATGCCGAACGAAATATGAACCTTACACCATCCAATGGAACGACGTCGTATGTGACCTCATCAATATACGACTCGTGGAGCGCAAATCTGACAGTGCATTGATCAACTACACTTAGTTTTTCCTTTTTTTGAATCCACCCTAATGGATAGGGCTTCGGATGCTTGACCGTCTTCAGACCCAGCTTCTGAACCAATGTCTCAGATATTAAATTTTTCTCGCTGTCCGAATCAACAATGGCATCAACTAAACTGGTCTTCACTTGCAACTTAAGAACAAAGAGCTGCTCCCTCGGGTCTTCGTCCTCTTTCGTGGCCTGTTTTCCCAACCATAAGGTTGAAACTGCTGTTGGGCTCTGTCATCCCCGGGACTTCTTTTGGACCTTGAGCTATCATGTATACATTTTTTTCCTCCTTCCTTTTCAACCCTCTTGGCTTCAGATGAGGATACTTCTCCTAGCATCGATCAGCTTCGTGTCCTACTTTCTCGCAGTGACTACAAATCAGCCCTGCTTTCCCTGGATCACCCTTCTTTTCCTCCTTAGATTGAGAACCACTAGACTCGTCCTATGATGCACGGATACGGATACCTGACACGGATACGACACGGACACAGATACGGGATATAGCAAAATCCAAAAAATAGGATACGGGGATACGGCAGGGAATTTTTTTAAAAATTATTATTATTATATAGAAAAATTTAGTCAATTAAAGTTTTAAACTTGTTCGTTAATTTTCATTCAAGCTTGCAAACTATTCAAACTTTCATATTAGTATACTGCATCACTAACAACTATATTGCTAAATTTTATTTTCTTCTTTACAGGTTACAAATGACGAATCAAGTTTTAAGTTTCAACTTTCAAGTCAACTAGTAGCACTACTCATAGCTCAAATAGCAAGAATCAATACTCGCACTCTCGCACAAATAGTAGCACATTTTCAACAATTATGACCGATATGTATTAATAAGAAACAAGCAATTAGTTCTGAAAAAAACAGTTACCACTTAACAGTGATAATAATAATAAAAACCAGTAGTTAACAGTTAAGACAAATCTCTCCTTAAATCTCTCCTATTATTAATTAAAATAGTCCACAAACCAAACTTTAATAATTACCTATTATTAATTAAAAATCAGTTTACTAACTTACTATCTCAAATAATTAACAGTTAAACATTCAAAAACATTGCTTTATAGTTAAATAAGAAACCATTAACAATTAACAGTAAATGGCTTAACAGTTATAGTTATATAAGTAAATGGCTTAACAATCAAAAAAAGAAACCGAAGCAGCAGCAAGAAAAGGAAAAAAAATGTGAAAAAAGAAACGGGAGAACGGTGGAAAAGAAACAGATGAAAAAGAGAAAAACTGAGCTAAAAAAAGAAAATAAAAAAGCTTAAACGAAACCAAATGAAAGAAATAGTGAAAAAAAGAAACAAATGAAAAATAAACCGAAGACCGAACCCAACACAAATAAAAGAAAACGGGAACAGAAAGGGAGAACACCGAAGACCGAAGAGAAAGGGAGAGAACAAAAGCCCTAAAAAAAGAAACTTCAAAACAAAAAGAAATCGGAAAATAAAAGAAAACTGAAAAAAGGAAAAGAAGAACCTGCTTGCTGCTCTCTGTCGCCGCTCGCCTTCGCCTTCGCCCTGCTGAGTGGAGACTGTTGCTTCCTTTTGGTTTCGGAAGAAAGAGTTGGAGAAGGAGCGACAAAAAACCCTAGTAGCCGCTTCTTTTGATTTTCGGGTTCAAGTGGAAATCGGGTATGTACCCAATAACCCTAACTACCGCTTCTTTTTGCTTCTTTTTTTGTTTCCGTCGGACGCTGTAGGGCGTGTCTGAGCCGTGTCCAACTCCCTGTTGACCGTGTCCGGCCAATTTTGACCGTTGACCCGTGTCGGACACGGATTGACCGTGTCCGACACGTGTCGTGCACGAAACGTGTCTGATTCGTGTCAGACACGGATTCGTGGCCTCTGGAATAGTATCCGTGCTTCATAGGACTCGCCTCCCGTCTGTTTGGAGTCTTCCTTAGCCTCGTTGTCCTTCTTTTGCTTGCCCTCGATGGCAATATCCTTCACGCTCGCCTCTGTAATAGTCTCGATCGTGAATAACTTCATCTCATTCCGGATGTAATCGCTCAATCCCGTCATATACTTCATAAACATAGAATATTCCTCTGCCGTAATGTTAAGGACCATCGTCTGCTGCTGGAACTCCGTAGTGTATTCTTGAACGGTTTGATTGACCCTTTGGCGCAAGTCGTACCACTTGTACCAACGCTCTTCAAGGAATCCCACCGGGTAGAACTGCTTCCTCAGTAACTCCTTGAACTTGTTCCATGACACCGCCTTCTTCTCCTGCTTGCAGTAGGATTTCCTGCTTCCTCAGTAACTCCTTGAACTTGTTCCATGACACCGCCTTCTTCTCCTGCTTGCAGTAGGATTTCCACCACGTCAACGCGTACCCTGAAAGCTTTAAAGTCGCGAACACAATCTTCTCTTTCGACGAATAGCCATAAAGAGTAAAATACGTCTTCATCCGCTCGATCCAGTCATCAAGCCTCTCGACATCAACACTCCCATCATAAATAGGAATCTTCACATTGAAGTCAATCTTTAGGTTCTGATAAGAATTCTTACCCTCTTGATGCAATGCAATCTTAACGGTCTCCTCTTCCACGTCGGAATCTGAATCTACTCTCTTCACATCGGACTCAATAATTTTCTTCGAAGAAGATTCACCTTGTTTGCCACCTCCATGGATAAGACTGACGAGTTGTGTGAGAGTCGAACCTATCGTCTCGATCTGCTTTTCTAATGCATCAATCCTTGGTGAATTGTCCCTTTCAGCCATCTTCTTCCTTAAGACCTGGACTCCTTCCAATGAAATAAGGATCTCGTCAAGCTTCTTGTATTTGGATCGAGTAAGGACCATACACAGGATGCCCCTTCACCGGATCTGATGCTCTGATACCAACTTGATACGAGTTGCCGTGCGAGCACCTTTGATCGCGGAATTATCAAAGGTGGGTTGAGAAGAGGATGACAGAAACACAAGCACAATTTAGTATATGGCGAAGAAAATTACCTTCTCTAGATTATGAGTATGAAAAGATTACAATCCCTCTCTCACAATCTCACTAGAATCGAGAACAAACTCTCAATTCTCACTAAACCCTAATACAATGATTAGAATCTCTCTGAATCTATCTGATTCTATCTGATTGTATCTGATTGTTTAGAAACCCTAAAACAATCCTTTATATAGGTGTACAAACGTGGATGGTAATTTGGTAAATAACCAGACCTAAAACCAACAGGAATTCGTGTGAACAGAAACCCAAACGAACCAGGAAACAATCGATGAGTCGACTCATGACTGAGATGAGTCGACTCGTCAGAAACTGGACAAAACTCAAAAACCAGCGATGAGTCGACTCATGACAGTCATGAGTCGACTCAACCTGATGAGTCGACTCATGACTGTTATGAGTCGACTCAGGCTGAAAACTGGATACTTCGATTCTTCTGCTCGTTGTCTCTTTCCACGCTTCCTCCTACGTTCCTTTGTACTGTTTGACACCTCTATTCTCATGCTATCATGAGAATCATCTATCCTCAAGCTCCCATGAGGATCGCTAAGTTTCGAAGAGAAAGATACACTCGTATCAATGACCCTCTTTTCATGTGAAAAGATTGGATGATAAAGATGCTGAATTCAAATGCAAAGATTTTATGAGCTTTCGAAGAATATATGTCAAAATTTTAGCATTCTAGCTATTTAGGGATCAGACATAAAAGTATATCACCATATATTTGATCCTTCTAAAAGTTATTGGTAAAGGCACTTTTAGGCTTTTGCACATAACAGTGTACTTTTACAATGTGTAAATTAAGATGCTTCTGCAAGTGAACAGGAATTATTAGTCTGGATTTTGTTATGTATGATTGTCTTGTTTGTAGTGGATATGGGACTAGGCTACACTAGAGACATGATATTGCTTGAAGTTCTTTTCAAGGCACAATGCGGTTTAAGCTAGCTGGCTGCTGTTCGTTTACATATGTTAAGTGATGCGCACAAGTGTTGTTTACCCTTGCTTTCAAATGTATTTTTTTGGAGTTGATTGTTGCGTAAATGGATTATACATTAGATAGGAAAAAGGAAAATTGTCATTTTATTACAGTGATTTTTCTGTTGATTCTAATTTAGAGAATTTATAACTAATATATTCGTTCAGATTTTTCTTTTATCATGATATGCAGGTAAGCGAAGGTCTGGATTTTGCTGATCAGGCTGGGAGAGCTGTGGTAATTACTGGCATGCCCTTTTCGATGAAGACTGATCCTAAGGTTAGTATTCTTGTGGAGCGACAATCCTTAATATCACCTAATAAAAGCTCATATAGCTTATATTAGTAAAAATAATAGAACACCATATTAATAGGTTGAAAGGGAAAATTTCATAGTGAATCATGAGGAGCAACCACGCAACATCAGTTTTCAAAAAGAAATGGAAAGTCCTGGAGTTAAATCAAAAGCGAAATTAACTTTACTTTCTTTGATTACCAATCAATCTTTATATCTTTGGTTTCCCAATCTCACCATGCAAGAAAATAAAAAAGGAGCTAATATGTGTGGAGCATTAGATGCCTCTTAACTGCTAGCTTTGTGTGTGTGCATGCATGCTCGTGTGTGTCTAGAGGAAACGGGGGTTGGTTTGTCACCCCATTTACTTGGCTGGAGTGTTTGATGACGTGGCCAACATCCATCGATCAGCTCAATTATTTATGGTGGGAACAAGTTGTGGTTTGATTTTTTTCAATAATCCCGTTTTTATACCCCCACCTCTGTCTCTCTTTGTCTCTCTTCTCCTTTTCATTTACTATTCATCTTTGTCTTCTCTGTTGATCTTACCATCCGTAGTAGATTCCACTACAACTTCTTCTTCTCTCCCTATCTCGTTCTTCTCATGCTTCACATACAATTAAGTTATTTGATTTGAATTAATGACATATCCCTGATGATTCTGCATCACCTGAGGCTCGCTGCCATTTCCAACAAATTCTAGATTATGGAACTGGTGTTTGCAATCGGTATTAGTTTCACTTAGGTATCCCTTATTTATTCTTATGATTACAATTGGTCTCACAATTTAATTCATAACTATTTGTTGTAGGTTCGTCTCAAACGTGAGTACTTGGATCAGCAAGCCTTTCAGAAGAAAGGGTCGAAGGTACAATAATATTTAGTTGTTAATTTCTTAGTTGCAGTTCTTTCATTTAATTCAGTCTAACTTTCTTGTTTTGAACATAAATACCATGAACCTGAAGATACTAATACTCGATAGCTGGAAAGCAACCGTATCACACTTGTGTCTTCTTCTTTTCATTTTTTAAACTAAACATACATCAGCGTGAGCATGCACATACACACTGTGGCAGCAGTCACCTGCACTCGCAAACATATGAAATTAACCATGCCCTACTTATCCATATCATTTGTTACCAAGATTAATCCACGCCTTTACCTTATTTGTTGGACTTAACACTTAGATTTACAGGCTCTTACTGGAGAGGAATGGTATGTTCAGCAAGCAGCAAGGGCTGTGAATCAAGCAGTTGGGCGTGTAATTAGGCACCGCCAGGATTATGGAGCTATAATTCTCTGTGATGAGCGGTAAAACCAACATTTTTTCTGAACTTCTCTCTACTTACAAGGCCACCTAATTTGTTGTTGTTATTATTATTATTTATATGCAGGAGATATAAAGAAAATTCTTGCGTATTCTTAGCAATGGTCTTTTTTGGTATGATAACTGATAATATTTGGCATCTATTGTTTATTACTGTTATTTAGTAGAAGCTAGCCTTTAGGCCATGTGAGTCACACTTTCCAAAAAATTCCCTCACAATGTGGAATACTTCAAAACTCATGGGAGGGGCACACACTGGCAAATCCAAAAAAAAAAAGCCACATTCACCACCCCCACGTTCCATTACTTCAGCACCCCCCATTCTTGTGCCAACATGTCATGCACATATTGCATGCACTGGAAGAGTAGTGATATTTAAACAAAAGTACGTAGGTTACCACCAAATCGAATTAGATATATACGCTTCCGTTATGCAAACAATATAAACATGGCTTGCATGTGATTTGTGCATCTATGCCAATTACATGAGCGATTGCGCATTTTTATTTGATTTTTCTAAGGTGATCCATTACATAATTAAATCTGAGATGATTAAACCAGTTATATCAAATAAAAAAAAAAACTTGGTAAAATACCTAAACTAAGTTCCATTGACTACTCTCTCATTGACTTCTCTCTCTTCCTTCTTAATCCAAAGAGGTGATTCCTCTTTCTGTTCTCCTATCTTACTCCGGCAGCAGTCTATCAGCGCATTGATGTTAACTTTTCTAGCAGTGCAGCGATGTTAACTTTTCTAGCAGTGCAATGATGTTAACTTTTCTTTTTCATATTCTTGTTAGTTTGTAATTATTATTATATTGAACATTTCTGTTTAGCTAATCTCAGGCTGTATAACTCAACATAACCTGCTAGTTTTTTTCTCACTTTTTAGAGATATCACCATCATTTTTCCCTTTCTATTTTTCATATTTTGGATAATTTTCTAACATTTATATGATAGCATTACACGTCCATTTTCATGCAATTCCTTATAATTTGATTGTGTAGTATATTATTTGATTATGCATTACATGCTGTCCATCCACACCTAACATTCATGCTCTTCAACATTGAGGGGATGAGTTGAATCCTGTGTAATTCTTTCTTTTATGAAAGAATGATTTTCCAAATTATCTTTGAATGAGTCCCGTATCTCGGGTGAGTGAGTCCCTGAACTATTCAATATTTCTCATCATCCTAATATTTCTTATGATGAATTTTCTAGTCACACATTTTGGCTATTGCAGTGTGCAAATGGTTTTCTCATTATCTGTAATGTCAGCAAGCTAATTCCAAAATTTTCTAGAAATAGCAATACTCGTTTAATGTATTATGCCTTCCCTATCATATGCAGGTTTGCCCAACAAAGCCTGCAATTCCAAATGTCATCTTGGCTCCAGCCTTATATCAAGGTTGTATTTGATATTCATTTTGCATTCTTGTTTGTTTGTTTTGATACTAATTCTTGATTTCTGTTGCAGTGCTACCCTAAATTTGGGGAAGCAGTTTTCACATTGACCAGATTCTTCAAAGCTAATTGCAACCTCGTGAAGCTAAAACAAGAAGAAAACTTGATCATTGGTATGCTGGTATCATTTCGTAAAAATGGCTGCTTTTATTGTTATATATATTCTCCTGCTAGCTGAATGTTTTCTTGCCTGTTAACAGGCTTTACCAGCCACTATCTTTCTATGTCTCAGTGTGAACTTGTGAAAAAATGTGCTGTGTCTAATTGCTATGTGGCCAAGTAGTTTCTATTGGCAACCATTAGATGCATGTCTTTGACCAATATTTCGGTTCATAATGTAAACTCAATTGTGCAGTTATGACCCAAAATTCGTGTTTATCACATTCTGATGGTTTATAGTTATTTCTAAAATATTTTCCTTTGGATTATTACTAGTTGAATTGATAAATCTGGCTACTGAAATTTCACCCTCACATTATATATCCCCATTCCTTTCTCTTATAAAGTCTGATTGTTTTTTTGAGATCTGATTGAAACTTTCCAGGATTTTATTTATTTTTTGATGCAGTAACGATCGCTAATTGAATCTATTCATGGTCTGACACTTTCTGGGAAACTTGTATTTCTTCTTATTGCGGATTATTTTGTGATATAGTTAACAAACTGTTTGTTGGATATCTAATAACACTAGTATAATTTATCAACATTTTAATTGCTTTCTCTGCCCCTTCTAGGTAAGACACAAATCATGGCCCAGAGTGTGAACTCCTGCTCTTAGTTCATACCTAAATCAGCATTTGATATTTCAAATTTTGAACTCTTTTATTTTTATTTGGATAGTGGTCTTTGAACTGTTCATATGCCTCCATGTAATGTATGTGCTTTGTCCATCTGAGTATACATTCCCAAAGTTACTAAAAACAGCTGCTTCTGAACCAACTTCTTGCCAGGCAATATGTCGCTAAGATGCACAATATGAAAATCTACATTAAGAAACCTCTTTCCAGTTAATGTATCATTAATAGCTTGTTGATGGGTCAGATGACACTGGACAGCATAGAAACTTTTCAGATAACCAACAAGACCTTTTGTAGATAGAGTTACTGTCTCTGCTTCTGTTACTGATCACTCTTTCTTCTTGTACTTGTTGAATTCTTTTTGCCATCTTCTAGAACAACCCCCCGCGCCCCCACCCTCCGTGCGCGTATTATATTTAGAATATATGATGCAAGCTAGTATTTTGCTTAAACTTGAAGTAGAATGTTTAGGTTCACTGTAAGTTAATATAACCCCCGCCCCCCTCTCCGCATTATTGTTAAAATAAACGATGCAAGCTAGTATTTTGCTTAAATTGGAAGTAGAATGTTTTGGCTCACTATAAATTAATATATTAAGTTTATTTTATATTTTCTTTCCTTAGCTGTAAGAAATCAAATCCTTTTTATTTGGCTGGAACTTGTAGGTCCAAACTAATTTTTTTTGTTTTTATTTTCTCACTTTGTTCCAAATATAAGCCCAACCTCTCCTATCTTTCCTCTCTTTCCTCTTCATTTTTAGTCTTATTTCTGAGGCAATGCTCGACCTCTCCTCTACTTCCTCTTTATTTTTTCTTTACTATTTCTCAGTAGGTCTGTCCAAACGGGTTGGCTCGACCTGGGTTTCAAAGTCTAGGTTGGGCAAAACGGCCCACCTGGACCCGGGCCTAGGTCTGCGACTAAGCCAAATCGGACTGGCCCGGATTTTTTAATTTTATTTTTTGCAAAAAATTGCTAAAAAAATATATTTTTTACAGAAAAATGGAATTTTAGGAGTGATTAAAATATGCAAAAATTTTGATAAAAATTCTATCTTATTATTAATCACTTATAATTATACAAATTGCAAAGTTCATAGAAATTAAAGCAATAAAAAATAAATCCTTTAGTATTATCACTAACAATGATTACTTTTTAATAAATTGTTGTATCACAATAGATAAGTATATCCCAACTAAGTTGATACCTACTCATCTATATCACTATCATATACAACTCTTTGCAAATATTTATCACAGATTTACAATCAAAAAACAAAAAATACAAATTACAAATTACAAATTATTTTCTACTCTTTATTTCTTATTGTCAACTCATTAAGTCTATCTTTATTACTAGCAATCTGGTTGATGCATTGAGTTCTGTTCTCGTACCTTCACCGATCTTGTAGGCACATTATCGCCTTTATGGCAGATGGATCCAACAGTGTTTTGTGGTCGTCGATCAAACATCCAGATACGCTGAAGGTGGATTTTGAAGTTATGATAGAAACCTATATTGTTAGTAAGTCACTAGCCATGATGGAAAGTAAAAGAGATGAAATTGTTCTATATACTCTTCACCATTTAGAAATCAACATTGTTTTGAGGTTTAACTAAAGGTGCAATTAAATATTGTTTAATTTTAAAAATTTTCCTTATTGATGATCTTGATCCACGAATACTACCCATACTTGTTAGCCTCTCTATCATCGGTTGCCTGTCAAAAAGCTTAATTTTGCCCCGTCTAGAGCTTACGGTACTTACACCATATCTGCATGTATACTCATCAAATGATCTTTGAAAATAATATTTAATAGTGTTATGATGAGTAAGAACTGTAATAATGTGACCGCTATCAGTTTTTATTACCATGTTCTCATACAAAGAATTCAACAAACTTTGGAGGCCAATATCCTTCAAACATGAATCAATAAGAATTCCCAAACAAAAAATAATAGGAATAGGTCTAAAATATTTATTAAATATGCTTTTCATTTCAAAAGCATGTTCGAAAAATTATTATCCATGCGGTAAGTATTAAAAGAAGTTTGAATATTTAAAACTTGTAAAGCAACTTGAGTAGTAGTTAGATATGAACAATCGGATAATAACATAGTAGCTTTATAAAAAACTTGTAGCATTTCTTTTACGCAACTTATAAATTATAATTGCCCACTCATCATCAGTTTTTCCATACATATTACTAGAGCTAGAAGTAGAAGAGTAAAAAACAATAAAATTATTTATAATTTCTTTATACTCTATTGCTAAATTTAACATTACAAGCGGAATTCCACCTGTGGTAACATCTTTTGGAATTAACTTAGATTTTATATTTTTATACAAATTTTTTAATCTTTTAAGTCTTTGTTTAGAAGCATTATGTGCATAAGCTATAACCCTAATTTTTTTCTATCATTGGTTTAATTTGATTAAATGCACTTTAAATAATTAAATTTAAAATATGATGCATGCATCTAATATGAAAAATATCACATTGACATGGCAATAACAAATATGATTTGATATGGTCTACAATTACATTATTATTACTTGCATTATTTAGTGAAAGAGAATATTTTTTCAGAAATTTTTAGTTTTGAAAGTTCTTCCATTATTAAGATTGTAATATTTTCACCAGTGTGAATCTTTAAAAGAAATAAAAGAAACAACTTTTTTAAACATTTGCCAAGTGTCATCAATTCAGTATGCTGTGATACATAAAAAATCAGTTTGTGCTCTAGATGTCCAAATATTAGAAGTTAGAGAAATTTTACTGTTTAAACTTTGAAAATAAGAAATGTTTTTTCTCGTGATAATACTTCAAAATGTCATGTTGACAAGATTGACAAGATTTTTTTTTGAAATTCGAGATAAAAATCATCTCTAATCACATCCTCAAATTCATTATCTTTTACTAATTTAAAAGAAAGGTTTTAAGAACAATAAATCTGATGATGCATTTCCTGGCTTTAATTGTGTTGTAGTTCTATGAAGTGAGGCTACTAGAGGAAGATGATTAGGAGAGTATAGATTGGTGGATGTCGCCTTGAGGCGTTGGTTGCCCTCTATTGTGTTTTTCCAAATGGCGCTTGAGGTGGTTAGTGCCGCTCTTATGATGAACTTCAAAGATATTGCTGCACAATGCACATTTGGCTTTTTGGATGAGATGTTTGCCGTATTGATCTCTGATGACTTCTATCTTCTTAAAGAAATTCCACGCATTGGATCTTAACCTTTTAGGAGCTCTAGGTATTGGATCATCGTTGGATTCGGGATCAACGTCGGTACCAGGAGTAGCTGTAGGATCATTCGGAGTTGGATTTTACCTTTTGTAATCGGAGGAGGAAGCCACTGGAATTAGAGAATTAGAAATTTTTAGAAAGTAGAAGAGGAGAATAAGAAAGTATAATACTATATTAGAGAGAATAAGAGAGTATTTTGAGAGAAGTACATGAATTTTTGATGAGAAAAACAAATTAAAGCCCTCTATTTAGAGGTAGCCCCCTAACCCAACTACTAAAATGCCCTCAAAATTTATTCTTTTTTGACTATTTTTGAGGGTATGGTCATTTGACTAAAAATAGCCGTTATAGGCTATTTACATTGTCCAAATAGGGTCGGGTTTGGGTTGGGTTGGGCCCAGACTCGCGCCCAGCACAGACCTGGGCGTCCAACGCTAGTTTTGTAGCCTGTTTGGACCGGCTGTCTGGACGCTAGGTCCAGACGGTGTAGTTTTCTAGCCATTGTGATCGCGGTCGAGTCAGGCGCTCGGTTCAAGACTACTTTTTTAGGCTAGTTGGACTGGGTCGCAAATCGAGGTCAGCTGGGCTTCTGAGACCTCGGGTTGGTTCCAACAGCTAACTAGGGAGCCATTACCGGGACTCCCTATAGTTTGGTCCGGGTTGCGGCCGGCCGCCTGGGCCAGGTTCTTTGCCGGTACCGTGGAAGCCGTGCGAGCCTCGCTGAGCTAACGCCGCGAGCCTGGCCTGGAGCCGTCTGGCCAGGTTTCCGAGCTATTCTGGGCGTCGGGCTGACCACAAGGCCGGGATAGCAGCCGCAGGCCCAATTGGACAGCGCTGTTTCTGAGGCAGATGATGTAACTTGTCTCAGCAAGAGATTGGCTTTCTACTAGTATGTTTCATAAAGAATCTTCTTGATCCATTCTCTGTTCTCAAGCATAATGTCAGTTAATCCGTCACGTCAAATTGTTACCAGATATTTTTTTGACTAGTTCTAATTCTCCAAGGTTGATTAAATTTGTCTCTTTCCTCTTAGTCCTTCTCCTGTAAACTGTTGCTAAATGGGGTCTATGCAAATTATCTATTAGATCAATCAATTGACTTTCAATAGGCTACTGTCTCTCTCACTTGTCTTTGGCACTACTGATATCCTAACAACCTCCAGGAGGGGGTAAAAATTTGGATTCATGGAGCTGCCTGAAAGAAAATTTTGGATAAAAGCTTTTATAGTTACATCACTGTTATAGACTTCCCAACAATCTTTTAGTGCCCAGCAACTCAGGCAGGTAATAAATTGTTAACTGTTTTCGTGTGGGCATCAAATTTGTTAATTTTCAAGTCTGAAGTAGAAGGTATAAGAAAGGCAAAGTCTGCTGTGAGTGCTCATCTGGCAGTCAAGCAAATAGAGTATAGTGTATTGTTCATGACATCGAAGTATAAACTTTGTTTTTTGCAAAGGTTATTTATTGATCTTTAAAATTTTTCTGGAGGCCTGGAACTATTGTTCTTTTTTAAACAAAATGCCAGCGGGGTGGGATTTTATGTTATCCTTGCCTGTTTCCTCAGGTTTGTTTTATGCTTTATTTGATGTGTTCTGTGCCATCAATTTCTCAATACTTCTAGCAGTTGAAATGATTTTGCTCTGTTGGGATCATTTTCCTATTTTTTCGAGTTTCTGGCTTATTTTACTGTTGTCTGCTTGATAATTGCTCGATCAACAATTGTCTTCTGCCCTGACAAGAATGCTGGTTATAAAGATTGTACTGAACCTACATAATTGATTTATTGAATTTTTTTTTCTTTTTCAGAGAGGCCTGTGGTGACCAAAGCCAAAATTCTATCTTCAAAAAGTCACTCCTGTTTGGTGTGTTTCTGAATGAATAGTTTAAATAATGTGGCTACTTCTAGTTTTCTTGATAACAAGCATATGTTCCTCGTTCTTTCTGTGACAGGCTTCCAAACCATTAACATCCACTGTTTCTGTCATTGGTGTTAGCGCTCCCATTCAGTTGGAACAGATTGCACCAGCCAACCGCTCACATCTTTCTAACAATCAGCATTTTAGCTTGACCAGGCAGTGTTTAAGAGATTTCTCTCAGTATCCACCACAAGCTAGCAAAAGCACCAGAACTCCTCAGCATCAGGAGTATAAAGTCATTGATTTAACTAGTGATGATTCTTATCATGAACAACAAGGAGTTAATTTCATTGCTCAATGTTCTGCAAAAAGGCCAAAACTATCAAAAATTCATTCTGATGTAGTTAAACGTCAGTGCAGTTCTTCAATGCAGTTATGTAAAGCTGATCTAAGCCATTCCCCATCAGAAACTTCTACGGAGTGTAGTTCTGGGATATGCTGTAAAGAAATATCGCCTCTTTCAGCATGTGAACCTGTGTATGCTAGGAGATGCAGTAAGGATAAGGGAACTCAATATGCTCAAGTTGATCCAATTGCGTCTAAACATGAATCAGATACGAAGATTGGTCTACCACCTAAAAACAAAGAAGGTGTTCAGAGTAGTGCTTTACCTTGTGGGGATACAACAGCAAGAGGTTCTGCTTTCTTGGTGCAGGTAGATTTTTTATACAGTTTTTTAAATAAAAAATAGCTGTAAGATTGTGATATTTACTGCCTTGCTTGAATTACATAGTTTTGTTCACTCGCTTGAAACATTTGGGAACTACTTTTAACATTACAATAATATTTTCCTTGTCTTTGTTGTGGTGAAAATTGTTTTTTTTAAAAAAATTAAGGTGTCCACTTCTATCTCACTTGAAATATTTGAAACATTAAGTCCATTAGTTTTTGCATTACCTAAAAGGTTTAATAATTTTTGTAAGACTGTCAATTGTTAAGGTGAAAATGAAAGGTTAGTGGTTCTGATTCTTCCAAACTTATACTACTTTTTGGTATGTTGAGAGAGGAACTCTCTCCCGTATATTGGAAGGGACTGGAGCCGACCTTAATTCTGAAAATAACATGTATTCTATTATTTTCTATACAACTTATTGCCTAGGAAGCAGGGAGTCTTCCCTTGTGATGTTGGGTTGTGTCAGACACCATTTTCTATAGGGCACATCTTGTAGTGTCTTCTCTGTTTTAAGTCTGTTTTTGAATTTAGCTTGTGCAAGATAAGTTATCACTATTGTAATTTTTTTGTTGCTGTCTATTAATTTCTTGCAAGATCTACTCCTTTTGTCATGCTCAGAATTATCTTTCTTATTTAAGTGGAAAATTATTGAACTTAAGTTGCCCAGGTTGAACATGTTATCGCCATAGTACGTTTTGGTGATTCCTTTAGTTGAAGCCTTAGCACAAAATGGGACTGTTAGTGTTAAGGAATTGAAAGCTATAAGCAACTCACAGTTCAAAGACTTATTAGTAGTTGCATTTTGCGTTCATGCTGAAGTGGCTGAATTATTTACTTCTTAACCAATGTTCTGCAAGAAGTCCATTTTTTTCACTTGTCCTTGTAATCAAGGTTAATTTCAACTAGATGTACCATGCTTTATTTTGTACATAACATAATTCAAGTTAATGGAAAAGCGATAATATTAGATCTTAACAAATAATTCTAGCCTCAATGACTATGGGGCTAAAATTAAACGCAAGGTATATGGAACATTTTTTTGAGGTAAAAAGTTCTTGTTGTATATGTGGAACAGCATTGAACATATCAACATAATTCCTTTATATCACAAATTTCAGTTTACAGACTCTTGATGTAATATCTAACAATGGGTCTGCTCAGACAAGTAAATAAGGCCTAATTAGGCTTACATGAGTATGCTGGGCATAGTGGGCTCACAAGTAGACAAGATGGGTGCAGTATAAGTGATTATTAGGTGGACTTCTGTTGGTAGGAACGGTAAGGTGATAAATGAATAAATTCAAAACGGTGTAGGAGCTAATATTTGAACGATGGTTCATCGTATGTTCATATTTTAGTTTTTGTATTTAATTTGTTAAAGCAATGTTCTGTGCTTGAATTATCTTAAAATGCTGAATAGAAACAAGTAATCTAAAATGTCCGCTTTTTTATTCTGAGGTTGTTCTAAAGAAAGTTGATTGCCAGTGGTTTTAAAGACAATTTTCGTTCTTTCTTTCTTTGTTTTCTAAGAATATGATCATCTAGTTTCATCATTACCGGTCACATCTTTTATGAGGCCCTAACTGTCCCGTACAGGTTTACTAATTGGCTGTAGAAAGCTCGTGCTTTTATTTTAATTATCTAACTTCCTGAGTGGCGTAGGTTGATTTCAAATGTTTTATTTTTTCCCCTCCTATTTGTTGGTTGTTGATTTAATATTTCACTTGTTACCAAGGAATTAAATCTCATATTGAACTTCCTCTCTCTGATAATCATGCAGGTTCAAGAAAAACTAACTCCTGATGAATATAAAGAATTTGTCGGTCTTATGAAGGCACTGAAATCAAAGACTATGAAGATATCAGCTGTGATAGAGCGGATTGCAATCTTGTTCTCTGGCCCAGTGAGGTTTCCTCTGCTTATAGGGTATTTCTTACCTTCCCAATTTGCTTATCCTAAATAATGGGAAACTCAACATTTTACACCGACATTATTATTAATTGATTGGGAAAAGCATTCTGCTCCACCTTGGCTTTGATTTTACCTTGATACTTACCTATGTAGTATCATACTTCTAGTTCTAGGGGGCATGCCCATATGTGAAAATATCTGGTACATGGATATTGCACTACTTAATGGTTAACGCTTGAGTACTCCTTTTGACATATGCTAAAATTTATAACATATCCTAAATGTTTCCAAAACTAGGGGTGGAAAAATCGAATAATGGAAAACCTCAAGTACCTATGATGGTTTGCAATTGTATATGATTGCAGATGCATTACAGTTATATTTTATCAATTTCCTCAATACACAATATGATAGTTCATGTGACTACTAATCTAGATAATTTAAACATTTCATATAACCCGACTTAAAAAATTAGCATGCTCAACCTCATATATGGTCTTATCATTTTTCTGTCCCAGACATGTTGGTATCCTAATTTTAGGATTTGCCCCATCTATGTATCATATTGTATTGTATCTGTATTAGTGCATATATATATGTGATATGTGTGTGTGTGTGTGTGTGTATAAATTGGGCATATGTAAACCATACTTGTGTCCTAGCTTTCTAAAAATTGGCCTTATATCTGTATCTGTATCATGTTATGCTGTATCCCTCCTCTATCCTTTATAGATGTTTACATATCCAGAGTTCAGATGAATCTGGGGATTAATAGTAAAAAATAATCCAACTATACTTGATATCTCAATGTTCACAAACCTGCTTATCAGATGGTAATCACATTTTCCCTTCATTGAGCGTCCATGTTCTTCTGCTTACTACAAGATGAACAACAAGTCCTGCTTATTGCTAATTTAAATTTATTACTTGTTAAACATCACATGTAATTTTTTGCGATAGCTTTTACACGTTCTCTGACTTCATAGATCTAGAAAGAACTTGCATAGTAAAACGTAAAATGGTCATAATGCCATATCAGAGTAGTTTTCCAAATTTTGCTATTTGTTTCTGTTGCTCATTTGTTCTTGAGTGTTAGTATGTTTATTTCCTAGTTAATTTTGATTGTGTAACACAATTTGTTTATGAATTTCTTTCTTCTTTCCTTTTCAACTATGTCGATAAAATCCTTTGGTGTTTGATTTTTCCGAAAATTGCTTTTGTTCATTTTAATTCCTACAGCCTATGAGAGTACCTGTAATGCAAAAAGGATCCTGCAGGTTTGATGTCTAGAAGCTAAATTAGCTCAGTTTTATTAGACAAGAGAATGAAAAATTGTCATTATGCCCCTAGCCTATTAGTTCTAGGTGGGAGGAAGAGAAAAATCATTCTTCATTTGCAGCTTGCTCTTCTACCATGAAGCTGTAAAATCTTTTTTTTTTTATTTCTTTATTATTTCCTTAAAGCAACTTCTAGATGTTTATCTGCCTCAAACATTCCATATCTGTCTCAAAATTTCTCCCAGTGGCAGCTGGTACCTATTACATATGCGGGCAGTTTTTTTCCTACTAGACCATGTATATTTCAGAATTTATGTATATTTCAGAATTTATCTCGTGTTTCTTTTTGCACATCATCTTTTATGCTTTGCCTATCTTAATTTTATTTTGTTAGTTTTGACTAAGAAACTACTCTGTTCTTTATCATTATCTTTTCATTTACACTGGTATTATGAACAGGTTCAAAGATTTTGTTCCTGCCAAATTTCAGACTATATATGAGCAGCATCTCAGAGCTCTTGATAGCTGATGTAAGAATTTGCTTTCCAGAGTGAAATATATTGTTTTTGTTAATATATTTTTATTCTACTATTCACTTTTGGTTGAGCTTGCAACTTTGAACGCCATCGTCTTAAGCAATGTCCAGTAAAGAGCATGTGATTGTTATGGGGTTGAAGACTATGAAAGGGTGGCCAAATTTTACAAAGAGCAACTAATTTGATGCTGACATCTGTAGAGTTGGCACTGAAATTCTAAATAAATAGCTATGCACAGGAGAGGGTTTTGCAATAAATCCCAGAAACCGAGTTTGTAGACAAGGAAGTTCACTTTATGGGTCATGCATCAGTCACATTAAACTCATTGAACCAGGGAAGCAATTCTTGGAATTATATGAGTTTAGGAGGAAAAAAATAATTGATTTGCTTTGCGTTCAATTCTTAGGTACAAACACACTAGCAGCTATCTGAAACTAAAGAATGCTCAAGTCTTTCTGAGGTCTGGATCAGGCGGGGTTGTGGGAAATGTCAAGTTCTGGTTTCATCTTCAGCATTTGTTAAACAGGGAAAAATAAGGCTACCATAGCATTTCATGCTGTACAAAATAATTCTATCAACCCTCACTCCTGTACTAAATGAAATACGAAGCAATGGCTGCCTTAATCCTTTTTTAAAAAAAATAATTTCTCAAACTTAACATTGTATTTAGAAGCACCTAACAGGAAAATCATTCTATATGTTTACGTAACAAAATGATTCCTCTGAACTCCCTGTTGTGCGCCGCGGAAGCCCGATTCGACAAAATCAATAGCACACACAAGGACCAAAATAGATCACAATAGCCACAAGCAACCCAATCACAGCAAGAACATAAGATATACGTGGTTCGGCAATGTGCCTACGTCCACGGGGTAAGGAGGGGGAAGTTTTACTAATGAAAATCAAGAGGAATACAAATTAGGGTTACAAATCTTAGCACAAACCCTCAAACAAGACCTCTTGATCTCTTCAAATGACTTTAACAATGGAAGCCCTCTAAATCCCCTATCAACAGCTCAAAACATCCAACCCTTAACCCTAGAAACGAGTTTAGGGTTTATATACAACTCTCAAGCGAAATGGGTCTGGAAACAGAACCCAGGCCCAAACCGCTTCGGCGGTCGACCGCGATCCATTGCGGTAGCAGCGAAATCCAGAAACTTCTGCGGTCGACCGTCGCAGTCGACCGCTCCGAAAACAAAAACTTCTGCAGTCGATCGCCACTGATCCAGATGCATAGTGAATGCGGTGCACGAACGCGGTCGACCGTCCCGATCGACCGCCAAACTGTCTGTCTGAAATCTGAGTCTGAAAACCAATTCTACAAATCTTCACCTCAGCGAACGTTTTGTCAAAACTGAGCCGACACCAAAACACCCCCAATCAATCTCAACTCATGCAACCGGCTGCATCTGCAAGATTGCTTACATATCCTTTTGCCCAATGAATTAAGCCGAACGTAGTTCATTCAAATGGCCGCCAATGGTCTCAACAATGAAGAATGTTCAATAAGTTTAAACAATGACCGAACTTCACACCTGGTACAACTTTGATCAACATATCAGCAGGGTTGTCCTTAGTGTGGACCTTCTCCAACGTGACATCGCCATCATCCAATACATCACGTACAAAGTAAAATCTAACATCAATGTGCTTCGTGCGTGTATGGTAGACTTGGTTCTTCGCCAAATAGATAGCTGACATACTATCACAATATACCTGAATGGTCTCTTGTGCAATCCCCAAATCATCCAACAAACCATGTAGCCACAAAACCTCCTTCACTGCTTCAGTCACTGTCATATATTCCGTCTCCGTAGTAGAGAGCGCCACCGTAGACTGAAGAGTGCATCTCCAACACACCGGTGCACTAGCCAATGTAAAAACATAACCTGTAGTGGACCGACGTTTGTCAAGATCTCCGGCATAGTCTGAATCCACGTAACCAATACAATCCTGTCCTGTCTCATCATTCTTCACAAATATCAACCCAACAACCACGGTATCCTTAATATACCGTAGAATCCACTTCACGACCTCCCAATGCCCCTTTCCGGGGTTGTGCATGTACCTAGATACTATGTTCACGGCCTGTGATAAATCTAGTCCAGTACACACCATAGCATACATTAAGCTACCCACTGCACTGGCATATGGAACTTTGGACATGTAGTCCCGATTCTCCACTGAAACTGGTGACATCAAAGCTGAAAGCTTAAAATAGGGAGCTAAAGGAGTATTCACCATCTTGGTATTGCCCTCAAAACTGAACTTCTTCAGCATCTTCTGCAAGTAACTCCTCTGTGTAAGCTTCAATCTCCCCTTCACACTGTCTCGTTCAATCTCCATGCCCAGTATCTTCTTAGCCTCTCCCAGGTCCTTCACCTCAAATTCAGATGACAGCTCCTTTTTAAATTTCCCAATAGCTGAAATGTTCCTGGAAGCTATGAGCTTATCATCAACATACAATAACAAATAAATGTGCTCACAATCCTGTAGCTTGTGCATATAAACACACGGGTCATAAGGGCTTCTCGTGTACCATTGACCAATCATAAAGTTATCAAATCTCTTGTACCACTGTCGCGGTGATTGCTTCAGTCTATAAAGAGATTTTTTTTAATTTGCACACCAAATTTTCCCCTCCTACAGCTTTAAACCCCATAGGTTGTGTCGTGTAAATCTCCTCGTCTAAGTCTCCATGTAGAAAGGCCGTCTTCACGTCCATTTGGACCAAATCTAAGTCCAGCTGTGCCACCAATGCTAATAGAATCCAAATAGACGAATGCTTCACAACGGGTGAAAATATCTCGTTGTAATCAATGCCCTCAAGCTGTGCATATCCCTTAACAATTAATCTGTCTTTGAACCGAATGTCCCCAATAGAAGATCCCTCCTTCTTAGCATACACCCACTTGCAACCAATAGCTTTCTTATCCTTAGGTAGCTTTGTAAGTTTTCAAGTGTCGTTCTTTTGAAGAGATTGCATCTCCTCCTTCATAGCATTCCTCCACCTAATAGAATCAGGGCTGGACTCTGCCTCCCTGAATGTGGCAGGAATCAAATTATCAACGACCTCCACAGATAAAGCATATGCCATCATGACATCATCATATCTAACTGACCGACGAATCTCTCTCCTCGGTCTATCTGCTGTAATGGACCCCAGAGTATGACCCTGCTCCTGAGTCTCACCATCCACTGTATCCTCCAATTGCCCGACTGTCATCTCAACTCCTTCTAGTGTCACTTCTGTAGGAGTCTCAATGTACACAGTGCTGACTGGAGTGGGTGGAGTCAAATCATCCTCCACCTGCTGCGATATCCCTCCTGTCTGATCTTCCTCCATCTGCTGAGGAACTCGAGGCTTCATTATGTACGTCTCATCAAATATGACATCTCTGCTAATGACCATCTTCTTGTCTTGTGGATCCCATAATTTGAAGCATTTGACACCTTCTCTAAATCCCACAAAGATAGCCTTCCTCGCTCTCGGATTCAACTTCCCATCACTAACATGGAAATAAGCTGGACATCCAAATATTCGAAGTCTCATAATCACTAGCCACAGAACCAGACCAACGTTCCATAGGAGTCTTTTCTTCTATCGCAGTGCACGACAACCTGTTAACGAGATGGCTCGCATAAACTAACGTCTCGGCCCAAAAGGATCTAGCCAATCCACTTTGCGTCATCATACATCGCACATTTTCCAGTAAGGTACGGTTCAACCTCTCTGACATCCCATTCTGTTACGGTGTCTCTCTAACAGTGAAGTATCTTCTAATGCCGTGATCCCGGCAAAATTGCAGAAATGGATCACTCTTATACTTTCCATCATTATCTGAACGAAGAGTCTTCACCTTTCTACCTGTCTGCAACTCTACTTTTTTCTTCCACTCCACAAATATATCAGGACCTCATGTTTATATTTCATGGTATATACCAAATTCCTCCTGGAATAGTCATCAATGAAAGTGACAAAATAATTTGCCCCACCAAGAGATGTGTGCTTAGAAGGACCCTAAACATCTGTGTGAATGTAGTCTAATATACGGTATATACCTTGTGTGTTGTGAATTGCGGTGTCAAACTTTACTTTAGTCTTATTCCCAAGAATGCAATGCTCACACAGCTCCATCTTGCAGGTTTTTGCACCTTTCAATAGCCCCTGTTTTGTCAATGACTATAGGGACTTATCACCTGTGTGTCCAAGTCTCATATGCCATAGTGTGGTAGTGTCCTCTGTGGTGATAGAAGCAGTCAGACCCCCTGTAACTGTCTTTCCCTTCAAGTATTATAGGTTGTTTTCCCTGACACATCGTATCACCACCATGGATCCCTTCATGATCTTTAAAGTAGCATCCTCTAAGATCACTCTATAACCAGCTGCCTTCAAAGTCCTAAGAGAAATGATGTTCTTCGTCAACTGCGGTACGAACCTCACTTTTTTCAATTCCCTAGTCACCCCGTCATGCATTCTGATTCTGACTGAGCCAATCCCATTAATAGGACAAACGTGATCGTTCCCCATGAGCACCACGTCCCCTCTCTCCAACTCCTCAAAGTTGGTAATCCCCATGAGCACCACGTCCCCTCTCTCCAACTCCTCAAAGTTGGTAAACCAATCCCTCTTAGGGCAAATATGAAATGTAGCTCCCGAATCAAGCATCCACTCCGTAGAGTCGGCATAACAAACAGACGGCAGTGCGGGACAAGAATAGCCAGAAGAATTCGAATCTGAAGTGTCACCAACAACCTTAGTAACATTCACCTCTGAAGCTTGTATAGCTTTTCCCATTTGCTTCCCGACTCTATCCTTCAACTTTGGGCACTCATTCTTCCAATGTCCCTCTTCTTTGCAAAAGGCACATTGATTTCTACTAACACTTTTATGGTCACCCCTATTCTTTGATTTTGAGCGGTTGAACCTTTGATGGTTTGGACTACGGCTACGAACTGCTAATGCATCACCCGATGCCTTCTCGGAGGACTCACTATCATTCTTCCTCAGCTCATAATTTACCAATGCCGAGGTCACCTCCTTATAGCTAACCGTAGTTCGCCCATTTATCATAGTGAGAACAAAAGTACTAAACTCATTCGGTAACGAACACAATAGTAACATCGCATTGTCTTCATCCTCCACCATGATATCTATATTGCCCATATCCGAAATTAGCTTTGTGAAGTTGTTAACACGCTCCCGAATGGAAATTCCCCTCTTCATCTTGAATTGGTAGAACCTCTTCTTCAAGTAAAGCCTATTCTCAATGCTCTTCGTCAAATATTTTTCGTTGAGCGTTTCCCACAATCTCTTCGCCGAAGTCTCGTTCATCACATCGTAAATGAGATCCGACGTTAAGCATGACCGAATAACCCCACAAGTCCTACTGTGCATTTTCTTCCAAACCCTATCATCAATCTCCTCGGGTTTCTCTTGAAACTCAAGAGTCTCCTCCAAATTTTGTGCATCTAAGGCGTCCATTACTTGACACGTCCATAAACCGAAGTTAATCTTGCCGTCAAACTTTGGAACATCAATTTTAGTATTATTGTTGTTCAAATTTTGGATAGCCTTTGTCAAAGCCGACCCCGATGTACTAGTAGCACTTGAACTAGCCCTGCTTGTATCACCCATATTGTAGATCTAGTCTTCAAACAAGAACCCAACAGCGAATCCTTCGAACAAAACTCCCAAATCCAACTTGGAGCTCTGATACCACTTGTGTGCTATTGATTTTGTCGAATCGGGCTTCCGCGGCGCACAACACTCCCAAATTTACCTTCTTGAACAGATTAAATTTTCTGCAATTAAATGTAATATGTGCATAAATGTACACTGGAAACGATATCTCTACGTAGCATCAAAATTTAATGCTCGATTTCTTCTTAAGTTGGTAACTTAAAATATCAAATAGCTGTTTCATGAGTATGCTATGCTTTGTTTACACCCATGATTATTTACAGGCTTAACTTGTACAGGAAATTTGTGATGAAGTTCAATTGGATTTTAATTATATATCTGGGATTAACATGTATTAATGGCTCGTTGCAATGTTAATATCTTGAAAGAAATTGTGGTGTTTATTCTATTTCTTACATACTCAGTCCCACTGGAGTGTTAGTATCTTCTACTGTATCAGTGTATTCATTTGTGCAAATTGTTGTTATGATCTTTACGTAGTGAAGTGCTGTAAATTTAAAGTTTGATGTACTTATGACTTTGGAAGGTTTTAGAGGCAGTTATCATAAATTTTTTTCTGTACTTTTGAGTTTTCCAATGTAGTTTGTACACAAAGAATACTTGACAGATAGTGAAATAGATAGCCATAGCTTCTCTTTGCATTATTCTTTACTGCTATATCTGTTTTAATATTTCATTAAATTTGGCGATTAATTCTCTTGCAGGTGAATCTAACTTCTTGATTTAATACAACGTCGAGTTTCATGTTTCTTGACACAGCGCTTGCATCTTCCTGGTTCGAACTTTTACGTGTAAGATGGACTTCCAAGCTTTTACTTAGAAGAATAAGTTCTCGTAATTAATTTGTTCTTCTGTTTGAGGTTTGCATAGTGTGGGGTATCAGGATATCTAAGCAAGGATACCAGCGATGAAAGCAAAGGTAACAATACATATTTGACCACTGGGTTAGTTCTTGACTTATGGTCTACTTGTTTTGCTATCTGCCTTTTTCTTAGTACATTTCAGTCACTCTATCTCGTCTGTTGACTAGGCTTGTATTACACATTAAGCTTTTAGTTACTGCATATTGAAGCATAACTCCACATGTGACATTGGTTTATGCAATTTGTACCAAGCCAGCAGATGAGCATTGCTGTTCAACACCTTTTATCATGAAAAAAGGTTAGGGAATTTTGTTTTCTTCATTTTGCCCGTTTTTGTAAATATTCTCTACCAAAGTACTTAACGTTATGTATCTAATATTGCCCTCTCTCATATCACTCTTTCTTCTTTTTCGCAGCCTATTTGATTTCTTCTTTTACATCTCATCCTTTCCTTACAAAGGAGGTTGTATGCAGATATTATATTTTCGCACCTTGTTTAATTGTCTTTAATCCTGAGTTATGCAATCTCATATAGACCCGTTGTTGTAGGTTCTATGCCAATTGTAGGTGTTTACGGTCACATCTGTTCTTTATCAAACAGATTTATTTCGTACTTCTTATACATCTCTCTCATGTCCTAAGCTGGCTTTTAAAGAGGACATGCGACCTTTTAGCCTTATAAGGTGATCTCAAGCATGTTCTTCTCCGAACTTGGCAAGCGAGGGCCTGAAGTAGTCATTCTCACAGTGCTCAGCCTCATTGATGTTGACTTCGATGCGTCCATGTTACCTAGTAGTTAATAATTGGTCGTGCATCTTTGATAGATTGTTTTGCTTGGGAGACGGACCACATGATGAGAAACTCTGCGTATGATGTTTAACCAACTTTCCACGCTGGCAATTAACGGGCATTCATACTTCTTTAGCACGCGCGTGTGATGTTTCTCTAGCTTCAATATTTGCATTTGGCTGGCATCCTAGATTTGTTAACCTATCGACATGCATTGTTATTACCCATTCAATGAGTTTCAACTAAATACTATTACTGTAGTAGGATATTGCTTTGTCAGTTGGAAATAGTGTAGCCCTAAATTCATCACACCAAGGATTGAAAAGTTATGTCAAATCAAACTACCGTCAAAGATACATGTGAAATGAGTATCTTAACAAGTAAAATATCTTTTGGTTCGTCTCCGAGACCATAATATTCTACTCGAGTTGGTAGCGAATTTCTCTGGCATATTCTGTATTGGAAGTAACGTCCTTTGCCTAAGGTCGGGTTTTGTTAACTTTTAACCGCTTTTTACCCTAGTCTAGAGTTTCGCTTTAATGCTATAACTTTTTCGCCCCGCATTATCCAGCAAGCAACGGATATCATCCTAGATCCGCACACGATGTAAGGCTTCGTATATTTGCTGCAACATTTTGCAGTACCCGGAAAAATTATATTCAATTTTTTTGAGATGTATAAATTTCATTAATTTCATTAAACTAAAGGGAAAACCTGAGAACACGGAGGAGCGTGACCAATCCCCAATCAATCTACATCGAGGACAACTGTTGCATTTTCAATCTTTACTGAGGCGACCGAAAGTGACGAGAAAAACATGTCCTCTTAAAAAGCAAAGTTATATCTACTATCAACTCCAGCATCTGGTTGCACTCTAACCCCACGTGCTTGCTAATCTAAAGCTAACTGTTGATTTAGTGCAAACCCGAGTAACGCGCGCGTAAAATTAATGGCGTATATAACTCCTACATCTGGTACAGCTCCTATAACCTATCCATGTGTAAACTCGTTCGCTTGCACAAAATCGTTTTACCGCAATTCAGATGGTATCCCATTTCTCTCGACGAGACTTTATGTTCGATAGTCTTTTGGAACCACCCCTACACTAATACATACATCTAAAGGTTGTGGAATTCTTGATCTCTTAACAAATTTGACGGTAGTTTGAGCGAAAGGACCCCCACACTTTTAATTGTAGTAGTGCAAAAGTAGTTTGAAAAGCTTATTTCAGCTAGAATTAGCGGTTGAGTTTCGGAGATGCTTTATGATTCATGTGTGTATTGCGTCAACTTGACATTATCAATAAGAGTTGGTGCATAATAGTTCCCTCTTAACGAGAGATTTTCCTTTTTGAACCCATATCAGGGGTTTCGCATTACATCGTCCTTGTTGACGATCCTTTGCTCCGTCAGCGTCTAGGGTTCCTCCTCGAATGATATCTCACGCCATGTGCCTGCCCCAACCAAGGAAGGAATAAGAAGCTTTCCTTGTTAGGTTGGGGGTGAATACCAACCTCCGACGGCGGAGGAGCTCCGACGAGCTCATGGAAGTCGCAGACGAGCTCGAGCAGTTGAGCTAGAAATCAGCGAACGCGACCCTCGTTTGGAGCGAACGCGACCCCTCGTCTGGAGCGAACGCGACCCTCGGCTATGCGAACGCGATCCTCGGTGTTGGGCGACTCCGACCCCCGCGTTCGGCCTCCGACCCTCGCGTCGGGCTTATCCGCTGGCGACAGGCTGTCGCCAGCTCACGAATCCCGCCTATAAAAGGCCCCCCTTCGATGCCCTAGGATTGTTGCTCCTCCTCCCCGACATCTTCTTTGGCGGCGGATAAAAACGCAGCGGCGTTCCCTTAAAATCGCAGTAGCGATTTCTCATTTAATCTCCAGCTTTCAACAGTGGTTGAAGGAGATTTAAGAAGAGAGAGAAAAGAGAAGAGAGATTTTATTGTGGGTATTAACACTATAGCTACAGTGTTCTTTTTAGAGAGATCTCATATTTGATCTGCTCCTAAATTGTAATTTCTTGTTTGATTAATAAGAAATTGACTGTGTGGCTCCTGAGGACGTAGGCAGTTGCCGAACCTCGTTAAATCTTGTGTACTGTTCTTTATTCTGCGTTTCTGTTACATTAGGGATTTAGGCGTTAAATTCCCAACAACTGGTATCAGAGCGTGAAACGATCTAGAGGAAGTCAGATTCAAGTGGGAGCCATGGCCACAGATGAGGTAAAAATGAGACTTGAGAAATTTGATGGAACAGATTTCGGATTCTGGAAAATGCAGATAGAGGATTATCTGTATCAGAAAAATCTGTATCAACCACTATCGGGGAAGAAGCCAGATTCTATGAAGGAAGAAGAGTGGAACCTTCTAGATAGACAAGCCCTCGGAGTTATCAGATTGACGTTGATATCAACCACTATCGGGGAAGAAGCCGGATTCTATGAAGGCAGATGAGTGGAACCTTCTAGATAGACAAGCCCTCGGAGTTATCAGATTGACGCTGACTCGCAATATTACGTTCAACATAGAGAAGGAGAAGACCACGGCGGGTCTTATGGCAGCTCTCTCAAATATGTATGAGAAGCCATCAGCCGCAAATAAAGTTCATTTAATGCGGCGGTTATTCAATCTGAAAATGGCGGAAGGTGCGTCAGTAGCACAACACCTCAATGAACTTAATACGGTTACAACCCAATTGAGTTCAGTTGAGATTGAGTTTGATAAGGAAGTTCGAGCGTTGATACTTTTGTCTTCCCTACTAGAGAGTTGGAACGCTACAGTCACGGTAGTGAGTAGCTCGTCGGGAAAGAAAAAGTTAAAGTTCGACGACGTTCGTGATTTGGTTCTCAGTGAGGAGATCCGACGGAGAGAGACGGGTGAAGCTACAACCTCTTCAGTATTGCATACAGAGTCAAGAGGTAGAAATTCAACCAGAAACGGACGAGGAAAATCAAACTTCAGAGGTAGATCAAAGGACAGGAGGTCCAAATCAAGGAATCCAAGCAACAGCTCGAAGGCTATCGAGTGTTGGAATTGTGAAAAAACCGGGCATTACAAGAATCAGTGCAAGAGTGCACAGAAGGAGAAGGAGGCGAAGGCAGAGGTGAAAGTCACTTCCACTTCAGGAGGAGACGACGCATTGATATATCATTTCATGCTACTTCTCAGAAAGAATTCCTCGAGAAGTATATCCCCGGAAACCTTGGAAATGTATATCTTGGTGACGATCAAGCATGTGCCATTATTGGCAAAGGTGTAGTGAAGATTAAGCTGAATGGGTCAGTATGGGAGCTGAAGGATGTCAGGTATATTCCCGACCTGAAGAGGAACTTAATCTCAGTAAGCCAGCTGGCTAGTGAAGGCTACACGATAACTTTCCATGGCGATGACTGGAGGATTTCGAAGGGCGCAATGACGATTGCCAGAGGCAGGAAGACTGGTACCCTGTATATGACAGCAGGTGCATGTTGTTCAATCTCAGTTACATCAGGCAATGAGACTTCAAAGCTGTGGCACCAGAGACTCGGTCATATGAGTGAAAAGGGGATGAAGGTTATGCACACAAAGAGAAAACTCCCAGGTTTACAATCAGTAGAGATTGATGTGTGTGAAGAATGCATACTTGGAAAGCAGAAGAGAGTTAGCTTTCAGGCAAGTAGCAGACCCCCCAGGAAGCAGAAGCTAGAGCTTGTTCACTTAGATGTTTGGGGACCAACAACCACCGCGTCGATTGATGGGAAACACTACTTCGTGACTTTTATTTATGATCACTCTCGGAAAGTATGTGTCTACTTTCTGAAGAAAAAGTCAGAAGTGTTTGAGGCTTTCAGGAGATGGAAAGCCATGGTCGAGAATGAGACCGCTTTGAGGGTAAAGAAACTCAGAACAGACAATGGTGGTGAGTATGAAGACACCAGATTCAAGAAGTTCTGCTATGAGCACGGTATCAGAATGGAGAGGACCATGCCCGGCACGCCTTAGCACAATGGTGTGGCTGAGCGCATGAATAGAACGTTGACAGAAAGAGCCAGAAGCATTCGGACGCAGTCAGGCCTACAAAAACAGTTCTGGGCAGAAGCAGTCAACACAATAGCTTACTTGATCAACCGAGGTCCATCGGTTCCATTGGAGCACAGAATACCAGAAGAGGTATGGTGCGAAAAGGAGGTAACCCTCTCACATCTCAAAGTTTTCGGTTGTGTAGCTTATGTGCATATAAGTGATCAAGGTAGGAATGAGCCTGATCCCAAGTCTAAGAAATGCACATTCATCGGGTATGGTGAAGACGAGTTCGGCTACCGCATTTGGGACAACGAAAACAAGAAGGTGATCAAGAGTAGAGATGTGATATTCAACGAGAAGGTGATGTATAAGGACATGCACAAGACAGATTTCAGTGACTTAGAGAGCGAGTCAACATTTGTAGATGCAGATGATGTCCCAGATAACCTCTCTGAAGAACCCAATGCAGAAGGTCCTCAGCCAGAAGAGCATGTTGGACAGAACGGTGCGCAGGAGCCCGACGCACCAGCTCCGATATTGAGGAGAACTACTCGTCCTCCTGTGCCTAACAGCAGATACATGAATTATATGTTGCTGACAAATGGAGGAGAGTCTGAAAGCTTTGATGAAGCTTGTAAGAGAGGAGATGCGAGCAAGTGGGAGTTTGCTGCGAAAGAAGAGATGAAATCTCTGATCTCCAACCAGACATGGGAACTAGCTAAGTTGCCCAT